GCTGAAGATCAAATAAGATAAGATGGAAGTGATGCTAGCAGGCTAGGGAAACATCTAGCAAGAAGAACAGAGGCCCAAGTTCTTCTGTCTCTATGTCCGAGTGTTGTCCGTCCTGATGGTTCAAAATTCAAGGCCATGTTGGATCCACTGCTGCTCTTTGATTTCCAGGTGAGAGCAGTGACATTTAATGCCTTGTTTCACCTAAAGCTGGCTGTGACTTGTGCCGTGCAACCTTGCCACAGTTGCCTACATAGCAATGTTGTCTAGCAGAAGCTATCCTTGAATAACACCTTGCAGCTCCAGCTAGTACAGAATACAGTGATTTGTGTATCTTGAGTGGTGGGATCCACTATGAGCAGATAATATTCGTGCACTGCACCATTTACCTTTTGATTTCCAGGTGCAATTCAAAGTGTTCCTTATGCTCCAGCCTTAAGTGGATGAGAAGAAGTCATTCAGGGATTGCTTTGCTTCCTGTCTGTGTCCTACATTTCTGGCTGCAATCTACTAAACCAGTGTTTCCTAATTGGTGCTCTGCGGAACCCAGGGGTTCCGCGAAGCGAAAGTAAGGGTTCCACAAGAATGCGGCACTCCCCCACCCCCTCTTAAATAGACAGAGTCTATTTTGCGGGGTTTTTTTTTTGCTTGACAAATTTTACCCTGGCAACCCTAGGGGTTCCTTGAAATTCTTTTAAGCTGAAAAGGGTTCTGTGGCCAAATAAAATTGGGAAACACTATACTAAACCAATTTTGCAGTCAGATTGTGAGTTCCCCCTTTGATGGAGCAAAGCTTGAGCTTTCTCTCTGGAGCACCCACCACTCTGGAATTCACCCTCTCTGGCAGTCCATCCCCCCAGGCTTTGGCAACTCCCAGAAACAGGCAAGACTTTTTTGTTTAGTCAGGTGTTTAGTGAGCCAAGTAGACTGTCCTTGAAGCTGGGTAGGAGGCTATTTTAACTCTGATAAAATGTGCTTGTTGATTCAGCTATTAACTGCATGTGGGAAAATATGCACCCAGGATCTGAGTACCTTGTGGCAGGATTGTGTGTGTGCAGATGCACTGACTTCACACTCAGATGGCCAGTGAGATGTATAACTGGCCATTTGCAATTACAGTTTCCATGCAGGGACAATATGCATATGCATGTGTGACTGGCTGACCCATACTATACCCAATAGTTGTTGTTTTAGCATAGAGAAGACTTGCTAGGGAGGGGAAAGGGTGGTGCAATGTGAAGTGAAATACAGGAGGAGTGAACTTAGTCTGAAATCTTGTCAGAGAAGGGGATTCTGCAAAGAGGGTAATAGAAGATTGGACCCAGGAGATTAGCCTGGGTGCTGAAAAAAGAGGGAGATTCTGTGGGAGATGATGGAGAGAGGATAAAGGAAAAGAGAAATGGATCCAGAGCAGGAGAGAGAGGGGATACACATGGGGGGCGGGTTCATCTTGGCCCTGGGTGTTGGAGGGAGAAGGGATAGAGCATGGGGGTGGCTGGTCCCTGGTCCTCTGATGGCTGAGGGAGAGGATACAGCTTGGAATGGTCTGCCAAGCTCAGAAGGCAGTGCAGAAAAAAGGGTGCTGATACCATGAATGATCCCCCCTAAAATAACCTTGCAACTCTCTGCAACTCCCTTCAAGGGGTGCCATGTGGTGCATTATCCTTGACCCAGGACATGCAAAAACCATCTTCCATGGCTGGCTAAATAGGTGACCCATATTTTGAACCATGAATTGACAGTACTCACTAACAGAAAACAAAACAAACAACTCTTGTGCCTAGAACCAGATTCCTGGTCTCCTGACCACATCAAATGGGGAAGGTTCCTCTTGGCCTTGTGGTGGTGGAGAGGGAGAGGGGATAGAGCATGAGGGGAGGGTCATTGGACCTGTGGTGACAGAGAGTGGGGATACAGCATGGGGTGGGGGAGGAGGCAGGCCCCTGCCTTGTGATGGTTGCCTGGGATGGGGAAGGTCCCTGCCCTGTGCTGGTGGAGGGAGGAGGATGCTGTCTGGTATCGGGGGACTTCAACTATCCAGACATCTGTTGGGAAACTAACATAGGAGGGCACAGATTATCCAAGAAGTCTTGGAATGCATTGAAAATGGTGCCTTTTTAAAAAAATTTCAGAAGATGGAGAAAGCTCTGGGGGGGAGGCAGAGGGTGGGAGGCTGTTCTAGATTTGATTTTGGTTGAGAAATTGAAAGTGGAAGGCAGCTTGGGTGAAAGTGATCATGAAATCAAAGAGTTAATGATTCTAAGGAATGGTAGAAGGGAGAACAGCAAAATAAAGACAATTGATTTCAGGAAGGCAGATTTTAGTAAACTCAGAGAGCTGGTAGGTAAGGTCCCATGGGAAGCAAAACTAAGGAAAAACAGCTGAAGACAGTGGACAGTTTTTCGAAGGGACATTGTTAAGGACCCCAGAGCAAACTATTCCACAGCACAGGAAAGATATGAAGTATGGTAAGAGACCATCTTAACCAGGAAATCTTAAATGTTCTAAAAATCAAAAGGGGGTTGTATAAAACCTAGGTCAAAGTAAAAAGGATGAATTTAAGCATATAATACAAGTATGTAGTGGGCAAAATTAGGAAGGTGAAGGCACAAAATGAGCTCACTCTAGCTAGAGACATAAAGGGTAACAAGAAAACATTCTATAAATATATTAGATGCAAGATGAAGACCATGGACAGGATAGGCCCATTGCTCAATGAGGAGGGAGAAACAATAACAGAAAACTTGGAAATGGCAGAGGTGTTTAACAACTTCTTTGTTTCAGTTTTTACCTAGAAAGTTGATGATGACTGCATACCTAACATAATGAATGCTAGTGGAAATGGGGTAGGTTTAGAAATTAAAATAGGAAGAAGACAAGTTAAAAATTACTTAGAAAAGTTAAAAAACAACAAATAGTTTAGTAGCACTTTAAAGACTAACAAAACATGTAGATGGTATCATGAGCTTTCCAGAGACTTCCAACACTCCGGTCATCAGAAGAAGTGGGCAGTGATCATGAAAGCTCATGATACCATCTATATGTTTTGTTAGTCTTTAAAGTGCTACTAAGCTATTTGTTGTTTTTTAAGTTTTTCCTGTTGCAGACTAACTCAGCCACCCCCTGAAACTTTAGAAAAGGTAGATGTCTTCAAGTCACCAGGGCCTGATGAAATGCATCCTAGAATACTCAAGGAGCTGGTAGAGGTGGTATCTGAGCCTTTAGCTATCATCTTTGAAAAGTCATGGAAGTCAGAGAGATTCTGGAAGATTGAAAAAGAGCAAATATAGTGCCCATCTATAAAAAGGGAAATAAGAACAACCCAGGAAACTACAGACCAGTCAGCTTTACTTCTGTGCCTGGGAAGATTATGGTGCAAATAATTAAGGAATTCATCTGCAAACACCCAGAAAATAATAAGGTGATAGTTAACATCTAGCATGGATTTATAAGGAACAAATCATGTAAACCAATCTGGTAACTTTCTTTGATAGGATATCAAGTCTGGTGGATAAGGGAGAAGCTGTGAACGTGATAGATTCTAGTAAAGCATCTGATACGGTCTAACATGACTTTCTTATCAATAAACTAGGGAAATACAGCCTAGATGGGTGGGTGCATAATTGACCAGATAACCATTTTCAGAGAGTAGTTATTAATGGCCAAGAGTCATGCTGGAAGGGTATAACAAGTGGAATTCCGCAGGGGTCAGTTTTGGGACTGGTTCTGTTCAATATCTTCATCAATGATTTAGATAATGGCATAGAGAGCCATGGACATGTTGCAAGTGCTTTGGAGGATAGAGTCATAATTTAAAATGAGCTGGACAAACTGAAGAAATGGTCTAAGGTAAATAGGATGAAGTTTAATAAGGACAAATGCAAAGTACTCCACTTAAAAAGGAACAATCAGTATCACACATACAGAATGAGAAGTGACTGTCTAGGAAGGAGTACAGTAAAAAGGGATCTAGGGGTCATAGTGGACCACAAGCTAAATATGAGTCAACAGTGTGACACTGTTGTAACAAAAAGCAAACATGATGCATTAACAGGAATATTGAGGGAAAGACACGAGAAGTCATTCTTCCACTCTATTCTGCACTGATTACCCTCAAATGGAGTATTGTGTCCAATTCTGGGTACCACGTTTCAAGAAAGATGTGGAGAAATTGGAGAGGGTCCAGAGAAGAGCAACACAAATAATTAAAGGTCTAGAAAACATGAACTATGAGAGAAGACTGAAAGAATTTGGTTTGGTTAGTTTAGAAAAGGGAAGACTGAGGGGGGACAGAATGGCAGTTTTCAAGTATCTAAAAGAGTATTACAAGGAGGAGGGTGAGAAATTGTTCTTTGCCTCTGATGAACGGACAAGAAGCAATGGGCTCAAATTGCAGCAAGAGAGGGTTAGGCTGGAAATTAGGAAAAATGTCCTAACTGTCAGGGTTGTGAAAGACTGGAATAAATTGCCTGGAGAGGTTGTGGAATCTCCATCACTGGTGATATATAAGAGCAGGTTAGACAGACATCTATCAGGGACAAGCTATCCATGGTGTCCAACACTCTAGCCAATAGCCACATATGGTATTTGGCTGGTTGAGTGTGACTAATTGGCTTGAACAATGTGGTTATTTGGCTGGTTGAGTGTGGCTAGTTCACTACAGTGGTTGGGCACCATGGAAGGGTGCTTGGTCCTGCTGTTAGGGCAGGGGACTTGATGACTTCTCAATATCCCTTCCAGTTCTAGTATTCTGTGAGTCTATGGAGATGGGGAGGATGCCTACACTGAGTGTTGGAGGGGGAGTGGATACAGCGTGAGGTGCGGGTGGGGAGGGTCCCCGCCCTGCGGTGGTGGAGGGAGGATGCTGCTGCTTGGGAACTGAAGGGGCAGGGAGGCCGGAGGCTACCCAGACCCCCGGTACTAGGACCTCCGGGGCATCTCGGAGCATCCTTTGCATCCCTGAACTACGAGTCCCAGCGTGCTCAGCACTCGGCGCTGGGATTGAGGTTGCGCAGCCGCCTGGCTGGGAGCGACCCGCCTGTTGACAGCGCTGTTTTGGGGAGGGCTGGCGCGGGCGGACGGACTGACGGCCGGGCGGCGGGCTGCACAGCCCGGGCAGGTGACAGGCAGACAGACCGCCGTGGGGTAAGCCGGCCATCCTCCGCCCAGTGCCGCGGGCGCGCTGCCTCCCCCTCCCGGGCAGGGATGGATGCGCTCCCTGGTGCGGTCCCTCCCCGCGCGCTGCCTGGCTGAGCATCTGCCTCCCCGCATCCCGGGGGAAGCCCTGCTCCGGCTGCCGCGCGGGGGCGGCAAGGGGGTGTCGTGCAGCGCCCTGGGGTGCACGAGCCAGCTGGGCGGTGCTGTCTCTCGGGATGCTCTAGCTGAGCTCCAGCGCCTGGAGGAGACTGCATGGGTGTGATCGCCACCGACCGGCTCGGCAGATTGCACTGCGGAACTGTGTCGTGCGGGTGTGTGTGGGGTGTGTGTGTGTTATAAAATAACGCGGGGGAGCGCCGGTCAGCTTGCACAATTAAAGGACCTTACAGGGACTCCTACCTTGGTGTAATGGTGGAGCAGCGGATTTGGTACAATGAACATTGCAATGCCTTGTTTTTTGAAGTCCACCCCCATCACCTGCAAATACATTTTCACAATACAATGTGATGCTTTAAAATTAGAATGTCTGATTTAAGCGGTTAATTTTAAAAAGTGAAAGTTCAAATCAGGCTGCGGAATGTCCTTCCTTTAAAAATGCAGGTAGAATAAGTAGAAATGTATTATTATTAAAGGGTTGTTTTAAAAATAAAAACATATTTAAATTTCCTCCCTGCTTCTATTGCAGGTACTCAGTACTTTAGAAAACAGAGTAAACAATGTTAAAATATGAAAACACGGTGAAGTTTTCCTGTAAGTGAGAATATATCTGCTTCTCCTTGATGCTCAATTCCTTTCACATGTAGTAAATAGCAGACTAATAGACTGTCTTTAAATCTGGTAACCTGACTTGGAACAATCAAGAACATATGTATTTAAAGAGAGGACTCAGTGATGTGTTATTGTTTCAATGACATTTCTAAGTGTTTGATGAAGGAATGCGCGTCCTCACAATCTCCATACTGACATTAGAGAGCACAACATGTGTTCTAGACTGAGTGTCATTGTATGATAACAAAATTCCCTTAGGCTGTGTCTACACAGCAGCATTATTTCAGAATAACGTAGTGCATGTCTATACAGCAAGATTTGAAATAACAGGCTTCTTACTCTGACTTCTGTAAACCTAATTTCATGAGGAATAAGGGAAGTTAGGAGAAGAGTGCGCTATTTTGAAATAACTGCTGTGTAGACAGCGCCAAAAGTCAAAGTAAGCTATTTTGTTTTAAGCTACACAATTAGCATAGCTCAAATTGTGTAACTTATTTTGAGTTTAGCTCTGCTGTGGAGATAAGCCTTTAGTATATGCTTTGCTGAGTCAAAATTTTGTTTGCCATCCATGGAATCTTAAAAAGCAAAAGCTCTTGTTGTCAGAGATAATATGTACTATGGAACAATAAATACATGTAGAAGGATCTAAGAAATATCGCTAAGTATGGACTGTAGTCTAAAACTGTTGAGATTCATGTGGTGATCTTGAACCTGGTACCTTGAATCACTTAATACATTCAAGTAACTATGCATTATCAAAATTGTTAAATTTATGGGTATCAGATACAACTGGACAAAATTATTGTATGTTAAATGTCATATATTGCAAGTGGTAACACTATCTTCAGCATACTTTGTGCAGGGATGGTCATTTTATTTTAAAAAAATGATAAAAGACCTCTCTACAATGACATTGTTTACTGTATCTAAGGCAGACAGTTGTAGTCTTTTCATTGTCTCATCATATGAAAGTTTTCCCTTGCCTGAGGCTGTTTCCATCAGTCGTCTGTGACTGTCCTTTATTTCTGCTTTTTGAGATATAGTGACCAGGAAAATGAACACATGATTCAACTGGGAACGTATCACTAATTCAGATAATGACATTATAATAGTTTCAGTGTTATTCTCCAACTATTTGCATCCTAACATGATGTTTGCTTTTTTGATTGCTGCTGCACAAGTGCACATTGACAAGAGGTCTCCATTGACCTGTTCATCATGATTTACAGTTAATTAGGAAGCCAGTCAGGTATTTGAGTAGTTAAAATAATTCCTTGTACTGTGAATTACTTGTTTTTTCCAACACAAATTTGTATCTACTATTACGTTGTCCATTTGCCTAGCTTGGTTAGATTCCTCTGAACTTCCTCAGAGTTCTCCGCAAATGGTGCCACATATGTGCTCAACTCCTCTTCCAAATAATCATTTTTCATTTTCACTATTTTACAGTTCTCACCAAACTCTATGGATCTTTGTTTATAGGTTGAACTTCTCTAGTCTGGTACCTTTGGGACCTGACTGATGCTAAACCAGAGAATTTGCTGAGTCACAGGAGATCAATATTGTCTAGCAGCATTACCAGCACTTCTGCTGGTTACTGAGCTCTTAGAAGATGCTTAGGGGTAAATTAGAGCTTAACAACAGCACAGAATGCTGGGAGTCAAGACTGGTAGTTGTAAACTTTAGGGGACTGCAGGATACTTAGCAACACTCATAATAGATGGACATCCAGCTAACATGCTGGACCACGGATGTTGCCAGAGTGAGAGTGCTGAACTAGAGGGCTGTGTCTACACTGGCATGAATTTCCAGAAATGCTTAAAACGGAATACTATTCCGTTTTCAGTTTTTCCAGAAAAGGAGCGTCTACACTGGCAGGCTGCTTTTCCGGAAAAGCCCTTTTTCCGGAAAAGCGTCGGTGGCCAATGTAGACGCACTTTTCCGGGAAAGAGCCCCGATCGCCATTTTCACGATCGGGGCTTTTTTCCGGAAAAGACTACTGGGCTGTCTACACTGGCCTTTTCCGGAACAGTGTTCCGGAATAAGGACTTATGCCCGAGCGGGAGCAGAATAGTTTTTCCGGAATAGTGGCTGATTTTGTACAGTAGAGCATCGTTGCTTTTCCGGAAATTCAAGGGCCAGTGTAGACAGCTCGCAGCTTATTCCGGAAAAGCGGCTGATTTTTCGGAATAAGTGGCCCAGTGTAGACACAGCCGAGAAGTTCCACTGATACTTACCTTTTGCAAGCTGTTTGCAGAAACTGTAAGCAAATATGCAGTCAGATTTATTGTCACTTGATTCCATGCTTCCCTGTGTCAGGCGATCCTTCTGACTTGAGGTTCAGGTGGCTTGCCTGGGTTTTAGGCTGAAAAGAATCAGGTAACTATCCTCATCAGATACAATTGCATATGGGGGGGTCTCTGATGGAGGTTAACTGGTACTCTTTATCCAGTACACAGATCATGCCTCTGTATGTGAAGCAATGCTGCCATCGTTTCTGTTTAATGGTAGAGTTTGATCTACATTTTATTGTGTTACCCTGGCTTATAAAAGACAAATTATACAAGAATATTTGTTCGTTTGTTTTAGCATAATTATCTCCAGAAGCAGCTGGACCCAGAAGTGTGACAACTGTAATTATAAGGCAGGGGAATCAAGGCATAGTCCTGAGCAAACAGGCATTGCTCTTTATGGTCAGTGAGAGTAGAACAATAATTATAATATTATTAAGATATATTTTCACATTAATGTTACCGACATGGGAAAAAAATCCACAGTCCTATCTGTTCCAACACTTCTCCTGTCTGAGTCATCTGTTATAAAATTTAAAAGTATTATGTGTATTTCAATATAGAGTTTCTCATGCTATTTATTGCTACAGTTATCAAGCTGTACACATCACAGATGGTATCTATTAGCTGGTTAGCACCTAAAATGCACAAAATCACATAATGAGAAAGGATAGCATAGAGGAAACACGATTTTGGGGGGAAATGCTCAGATAATTATCACAGTGATCACTTTTCTGCTAACAGCAATGTATATTTAGAGATAGCGCCCTACCAAATTAATAGCCATGAAAACCATGTCACAGACCATGAAATTTGGTAACCCTTACCCCATGACATCTGGTCTTTTGTGTGTTTTTACCGTACAGTATACAGATTTCATGAGGGAGACCAGCGTTTCTCAAGTTGGGGAGTTAGTTGCAGGGGATTGTAAGGTTATTTTAGGGGCGTCTTGGTCAATGTTCTCTCTAATTTTTTCCATCGATGTACAGAATGAATTTTGTTATGTGCACCGAGCCATGGGTGGATGTTCACCATCAGTAGAAATGCATGCTGGCAGCTGTAGGTGCTCTGCCAATCATCTGGGCAGCATTTGAATCTTTCTTGGGCAGCCACCCAAGCACACAGTTTATAGGGAATACTGGTTGTGGTCTTGTCACCCTTTCTTCTGTGCTGCCTTAAGAGCTGAGTGCTGCTTTCCCAGCTCTGAAGGCAGTATCTCATCAGCTGCAGTGCAGAAATATGGGTGGCAATACCGTACCATGCCATACTTCTGTGTTGCTACCTTCAGAGCTGGGCAGCCAGAGAGGGACAGCTGCTGACAGACCCCAGCTCTGCAGGAAGCAGTGTGGAAGATAAGGGAGGCAACACCATACCATGCCATCCTTATTTCAGTGTTGCTGGTGGTGGCTTTGATTTCAAAGCTGAAATCCAAGCCAGATGTTGTTGCTTTTCAGCAGTCTATTACTGATGGCTATGCAGCTGCCTGGAGAAGCACAGAAGTAAGGGTAGCAGCACCACAACCCCTCCACCCCTCCAACTCAGGACTCCTAAAGTTATAACACCATGACATTTCAGCTTTGAACAGCTGAAATAATGAAATTTGCTATTTTAAAAATCCTATGACCATGACACTGACCAAGTATTATTTACAGCCCAGTTTTTAGTTCAGGGTCTGTTCACCTCTCAGATTGAGAAACATCTTGGTGAATGAGTAGGCCCACTGTAATTACTAAGTGATAGAAATGTAGCTGTGTTAGTCTGGTGTAGCTGAAACAAAATACAGGACTATGTAGCACTTTAAAGACTAACAAGATGGTTTATTACTAAATAATTATTATGTAATTACTAAGGCTACTCATGGAACAAGGTGCTTCTCAATGAAAGGAAGAATGAATGATCCAATGGGTAGGACATTTGCCAACGACTCGGAAGATGTTTCCTGCTCTGCCACAAACTGCCTGTGTGACAGCAAGACTCTTTGGCCGCGTTTGTAGTTATACCCTGGAAATAGATATTCTAGCATTTGATTTAGTGGGTGTAGTTTAGAAACACTAAATCGAATGCTGAGGGTGCCTCCGGTCAACACTGGTTCTCCTTGCAGTTGCAAGGAATAAAGGAAGCCAATGGGAGCATTTGCTCCTGTCGACCTCCCACCGTGAAGATGACACCAAGCTTGGCTTAAGTTAAACCAACTCCAGCTACGTTATTTACATAGCTTGAGTTGCGTACCTTCCGGGTGTAGCGTACACCTGGCCTTCATCTCTCTCTGTGCTTCATCTGCAAAACAGAGACAAAAGCATTTCTCCATGTGACAGTCACATTGTGAGAATAAATACATTGAAGAACGTAAGATGCTGTATGAGTGCTGTGATAATCAGGTTCATATAATTGTGATAGATAAGAGGAGAAGAATCTGGCTTATAATTTTTGACAGTTCTTGTTTTAAAAGCTGCTAATATCTGATGCACATGCTAGCTTAGAATTGGGGTAAGTCTGATTGCATATTATAATTCTTTTTACAACACAGTTGGAATTTGGAAGATTGGTAACTGGACATGAGTTTTTCTTCTACGGATCACAGGTATTTCAGTGATGAATGAAGTGTAAGAAATGGTATAAATTGACTAGAATAGTTCAAATCAAAGTACAGACTAGCAGGGACTGAAAGGTCTTAGCTTGTTATAGCAGGTATTGCTATGTTTGGTGGCCCATGTGAAATAGGGAGTGACTTTAGTCCAGTTGCTATGGAACAGGCATTCACATTATAAAAAACCACCATCACATGTGACACTGTGAGTCACTCCTCAGGACTGTGCACAATCAAACCTGTTGGGATTTGTGACATTTACTGTAGGACTCATGTTTTAGGTAGTTCTGATTTCTCTGTGGTATTTCTGACAGCCAAGGTTTGTCAGGGATAAACAAACACATGTAGAATCTAAAGGATTTTTGCCATCAAAATAACCATTCTTGGTACTTTGATCATCATCTCATCATGGTAAATCCCAAAGGGATGAAGTCTGGGTGGTTTCCCTTTAATCATTGAGAGAGAAATAAACTCAAACAAGTAAAGATCTACCCATTTAAATCCTACAGTTGCACCAAGTGCTTGGTTTAATAAACACAGTCTCAGACTACGTCTAGACTGCAGGCTTCTTTCGGAAGAAGCTATTCCAGAAGAGATCTTCTGCAAAAACTTATTTTGAAAGAGAGCATCCACACTGCGAAAGCACATCAAAAAAGTGATCTGCTTTTTCGAAAGATAGCGTCCATTCAGTGTGGACGCTATCTCGCATTTAAGCTGTGATTACTATGGATGGCATGTCCACTAGGGCACCTTTGCTTTTTCCTCTTTCCTCTTCTTTCGAAAGAACTCCCTCTTCCCCGTCCACACACGCCTTTTTCTGAATGAGCTCTTTTGGAGAAAGACTTCTTTCTTGTAGAAAGAGGTTTACCAATGTCAGAAAAATTCCTCTGTCCTTTCAATTTTTTTTGAAAGAATACAATTGCAGTGTGGACATAAGTGAAGTTTTTTTGGAAAAACAGCCATTTTTCTGAAAAAACTCTGTAGTGTAGACATAGGTTCAGAGTTAGCAATGTACAGCAGAAATTAAAATAATGTTTTTTTCTGATTTCGGAGTATATAAAAATTGGTGACAGAAAATCTCCTAATATTTTGGTGTCCACACCCCTCTCCCATTTTTCATTTCCTGAAGTCTATAATATACTGCATACAGAGTTTCTCTGTTCACAACCATTTTAAATAGCATAGGCGTGTTTGGGAGCTTCACCTTGGAACACAGGGCAGTTGAAGGCACTTTCAAATGCAAAACTCAGTATTGACATTTGTTTCAGATCAAGGGAACAAGATAAACTGAGCAATTTAGTACAGCTCAGTTGAAGAAGGAAATGGTGAAGCCTTGAATTCATTGTTTTGAAATGAACATATGATTATATGATTACTATCCCCACCTTGTTAATTGGATTCCACACTATTAGCTTTAGGCAAATAGACAGTGCTATGTCACTTTTGTGATTCTGATCAACCTGTTGATTTTTTTTTTGAGTGTGCATATGTCATTTGTTTTTGGAGATCCCATCCAGTTGGTTTCCTTAGATCTAATTATTGAATAAAATAAGCCCTTTAAAATTCTTTATTATAACTGAATTGTTTTATTTTACAGCATCTCATAGCATATCATATGTTTTACAATACTGAGGAGGCAGGGCCTCTGAATGGAAGAGTTTAGAAACTACAGTCTCTTCCCGACTTATGAACTGGTTACGGACCAAGCAATTGGTCGTAACTCGGTTTGTCGTAAGTCGGACTCCATAGAGATACATGCGACCGCATTGTTCGTAAGTGCAGATCGCGTTCGTAGCTCGGGGTCTACCATTTACAATAGCTTCGGTTGTAACTGCAAATGGTCGTAAGTCGGGGACCAGCTGTAATACAAGAATTTACAGTCATTCAAGACTTGTTCTTCCAAGACTGTCTTTAACTAGACTGCGTAAGAATATTACTGTTAATCACATTTTTCCTGTCATATTATAATCCTTTCATACTATGCTATGTCCGCAGACCACGTGCTATGATATAAGCAGTTTTTAGTTTTTGATGGTGCTACAGCATTGTCCAGACTGTTAAAACAGAAGCTATTAACCTCAGAAAACATGAGGTCTCCAAAGTCCTATAACAACAAGGTTCCTATAATGCACATGGTGTGAATCATAGAGTTGAAGGACTGGAAAGGATCTCAAGAGATCATCTAGTCCAATCCAGTCCCCTAGACTCAAGGTAGGACGTAGTTATTTCTAGATCATCCCTGGCAGGTGTTCATCTAACCTGCTCTTATAAATCTCCAATGATGGAGATTCCATAATCTCCCTAGGCAATTTATTCCAATACCCAGCTACCTAGACAGTTGGAAAGATATTTCCTAATGTCCAACCTACATTTCTTTTGGTGCAATTTAAGCCCATTGCATCTTATTCTGTTCTCAGAGGCTAAAAAACAATTTTCCCCCCTCCTAGTAACAAACTACTGTATTCTTGAAGACTGTTATGTCCCTTCTCAGATTCTCTTTTTTCCAGATTAAACAAATCCAGGGTTTTCAATCTTTCCTCTGAGGTCATGTTTTCTAGCCCTTCAATCATTTTTGTTGCCTTTTTTTTCTGGATTTGCTCCAATTTGTCCACATCTTTCCTGAAATTTAGCGCCCAGAATTGGACACAATACTCTAGAAGCGGCCTAGTTAGTGTGGAGTAGAGTGGAAGCAGGCCCAGCCAAAGAGTTTGCGGGGCCCAAGGCGGCATGTTGTGGTTGGCTTCACCACGTGGCTGGACGGCTCCCAGTCAGGTCAGTGAGAGCAGGTGGGCAGCTGGGTGCAGGCAGGCACAGGGCACTTTGCTTGCCTTGCCCTAAGGCTGGGCCTGAGTGGAAGCAATACTTTTTGTTTCTTACTTACAACAATCCTGCTAATCCATCTCAGAATGATGTTTGCTTTTTTAGCAACAGCATCACAGGGTAAACTCATATTTAGCTTGACACCTAGATCCCTTTCTGCAGTACTCCTTTCTAAGCAGTCATTTCCCATTTTGTATGTGTGCACCTGATTGTTCCTTCCTAAGTGGAGGACTTGGCCCTTGCCCTTATTGAATTTTATCCCGTTTATTTCAGAGCATTTCTCCAGTTTGTCCAGATTATTTTCAATTTTAATCCTATACTCTAAATCACTTGCAACCCCTCCCAGCTTGGTATTGTCTGCAAATTTTATAATTGTATTCTACATGCTATTAGTCATATAATCAATGAAGATAGTGAATAGAATTAGACCCCTGAGGGACACCATTTTATATGCTCTTCCAGCTTGACTATGAACAACTCATAACTATTCTCTAGAAATTGTTTTTCCAGCATGTTAACCCCCCCCACAAACACTTTTGCTACCATTCTTTAAAGAAAGAATAAAACTACGTATAGTGTAAGACATTGCTTTGGGAGAAGGACACATGCACTTTGAAAGGAAATAATTCAACAGGATTTTTCAAATTTTGAAAGGTAAAAAAAGGTTGATTTTTATGGTCAGACCTGAGAAATTTTCAGGAATTTGTAAAATGAATGAAAGCTACATGCTTAAAAATGAAAATATTGATTCACAGAAACACCAAGTACTCTGTCCCAAGGACCAGAAAACTAATATATTTTAAACTACTTCAGTAATACTCGTTGATGTTCCTTTTATGAATGCTGCCATGCTTGAAAGATTAGAAACATTCCTTACTTTCTTTGAATACTTTCAGGCTGATGAACAAGAGTATGAAAAAACAGGTGGAACAAATTACAGTTACATACATACTGGACTGGACCTAATAAATGTGATTGGATCCATTATGATTTAGAGTATTCTTGCAACACAAACATGTGCAGTGAAACTGGGATAATTGTTCCACAGTCATCCAGCAAATGGAGCTCTCCTAAGTATATACAGTAGTTAGCCCAGTCCTGGACAGAGTGTCTCTTTGGTCTCCAAAAACAGCTCTGAAAATCAGGTTGTTGAAAACGCGATGTATTGAGAATTCTAAATTGAATTCTAATTGCTTTTTCCAAATAAATGTCCTTATTTTGATAAATGTTAAATGTAAACATTGAAAGCTGGACTGAGATTAGTTTTAAAAACCTTGAGTAAAAGGGAGAGAAACAACAGAGATCTCTTTCAGCAATACAAAGTTGTGCCTTGGTTTTGAACCAGGAAGATTTCTGAAACCTCAGAGGGGTCAAAATGGAACCATTTGGCCCAGCCTGTGAGAGACGTATGTGACTGGTTTACGGCGAAGTGTTAAAAAGACCTACACTTTTTTCCTCTGTATTATCAAAAATGCCTTTAGCAATAGATCCTGCCGCAACAATAAAAAAGCACAGAGAAAGAAAATGAAAGAAAACCTTAAAAAAGCACCAAAAGGAAAAAAAGAGAAGGCTTATTGTATGAGATATCTTTTTAATCAAGGCCCCCATGACCAGAATATATTACAATAAGTGAATGAATAATTCAGCATTATACATAATATTATACTAACTTTGTTAGCTTCACCATCTTTTCTGAGAGCAGTGGGGATTGATCCTCCAGGATTCTCTGCTTGTCTCCTGTTTTCTTCCAGTTCTGCAAAAAGCTTCCTAGTAATCTGCAAATTAAGGAATCTATATTGATACTTTCCTCTGTCTCTTCCAGTGTGATTTGTCTTATTCTGGACCTCCTTTCAGACTCAAGTAATTCCACTGACATGAACAGGACTACTTGTCAAAAACTAAGCAAGTATGTAAGGATTTGCAGGAGGATCAGGCCCTTAGAATGCAAGTTCCTCAGGACACAGGTGCCTTTTTAGTTGTCTTGTACAGCAGGAGCACAGTACTGACACTGATCAAATGATAAATAATGTTATATAACCTATTTTTCCCCAGATTGGTTTTTCCAGTCTCAAAACTGATTTATCAGGTATTGCTTTAAAATGGGTATTCCCTCAATGTATGTTCATTGAAGAGGGCTTCTTTGCGCTGCCATAAAATAACTGGCTTCTGTTTTGGAGAGCTTTTAGTAAATGAATAAGTGTCGCTTTGCTCAACTGCTACATTTATAGAAAAAATAATCACATTGGGCTAATTCCTTCCCTATCTGAAAATTCAGATGGATGTTTTAGAGTTCAAGCTGAGTTTACATATATCCCTGCATCAAGCTCTAATTTCAGAGCAGGTGTTGAAAGTTATCCAAATGTGTAATACTGACCTCATAATATACATGGATCGTCTCCCCATCCTGACAAATTAGAACTAATATGCATGAATATAGACAATCTCTGGTCTTGCAAATCAGGTCTATGAAGCATTGTTTTTTATTTGACTAATTTATTACAATATGAACATGCTAACTTGTTAGGTATTCAATATTAGTAAGAACTGAAATCCTAGCATTGAAAACATGTTAAAATTTCATGTAAAAAATAACAAAGGGTTCCTGGTTTTGTCTCTGAATCATGGCATGAAAATTTCCATTGCTATGTTTAAAATGTGTTTGACGAAAACTGTGTCTCTTTAAAATAGAGGTTTTTTTCCCTCTTAGAGTAAGTGTAATGTTAGCTTACATTATCTTCCTAGCACGGTGAAAAGTCTCAAAGGGGTAGCCATGTTAGTCTGTATCTGCAGAAACAATGAGGAATCCTGTGGGTTTTACCCACGAAAGCGTATGCCCTAATAAATCTGACCACGAAAGCATATGCCCTAATAAATCTGATTCCTCATTATCTTCCTAGCAATTATTTTAGTTCTGCCTACTGCCAGTAGAACTTGGAGAGTTATTTGTGGTAATGTTAGACTACGACTGGAGTTTTAGGCTGAACATTTAGAGGTCAGACACTCCATTCCATAACCATGAAGCCAATTTGCATCCTGGTAATGCATCTGTTACTTTGCAATTTACATGACAATTAGTTTCTTTATGTAGGGCTTCACAGCTCCCATTAAAGTCAAATGAAAGTCATCCCATTTACTTTAATGAGAGTTGGATCAGGGCCTTGATAAAAAAAACCTACCCCTCGTAAATTGCAAAGGTATCCATGTGAGTCTAGCTATCTATAGAAATCAAATGCATGCTTTCTTTGATCCATATAAGATGAAAGACAGTCACTGGGGAATGAAAGAAAGAAGATGAAACATCAATGGATCCCCTCCCTTTGATGTACAAGAGGTTTCCCACAAAGTCATAGAATAATTTAGATTTAATTTTTTTAAAGTAATGTTAACTTTATTCATAACTATTTTGAGACATGAAAGTATCTACTGGAAACAAAGTGGTTCTCTTTATTATGTCTGATCAATTTATAGTCTGCTGTAGGTTGTGGTGATAAATTCAATTATACTGACTGCAATTGTTTGCTTGTTACTAATTATGCTTAACAATTACATCTTGACATTATGTGGACTTCTTTGAAATTGTAATTTTTCCTTTTCAGTTTAAATGGCAAGAGCAGGTTCACTACATCATCTTTTAAAAATATTTTTCATAATTATAAAGCCTGACTGGACCACTGTGATCATCTAGTCTGTCATGTTTAATTAATGGAACTTCTATGGCTTGTGTTATAATTTGTTTGAACTTGAACATATCCTTTTGAAAAACATCCAATCTTGATTTAAAAATTACTAGTGATGGAGAATCTACCACAATGCTTGATAAATTGTTCCAATGGTTAATTAACATAATGGTTAAACGTGTGTACCTTATTTCTAGTCCTAATTTACCTAATTTCAGCTTCCATCCACTGGATCTTGTTTTGCCTTTGTTTGACTGACTGAAGAGCAAGATTCTCTCTAAACTGCGTGGCAGCACAGCTCCACAGCTGCTTAATGAACCCCGCCTAGGCAGGGGCTTAGGGCTCCGTGCACAGAGCTGCCTGGCTGGGGGAGGGACACTTCTTCCTCGGTGGCAGCAGCAGCAGCTCCCTGCTTGGGAAAGAGCACTGAGCCTTGCCCAGCCCATGAGGACATGTCCCCTCCCTACCAGCTGGGAGAGACTCGCTGCTCGTCTCTGTCCTCAGCAGAAGCCTGCTGATGTCACTGAGGAAGATGTGCCCCATCTCCAGCCAAGCAGCTCTGTGCATGGAGCCCTAAGAGTCCATTATCAATTAGTTGTTTCCCATGGAAATATTTATAAAATGTGATTAAAAAAGAGGAGAGCCAACAGCTTCTCAGAGAGCCAATATTAAAAATGTAACAGTTAACTATCCTAATTCAAAGAAAAGATAGGAAGAATAATAAGTGGGCAATAACATGAAAATCAAAAAGGAATCTTACAAAAAGTGAAAACATGATAAAATGCTAAGGATGAGTACATGTAAATGGCACAAGCATGTGAGGATAAAATTAGAAGAGCTAACACACAAAATGAGTTCTAACTTAGAGAAAAGGACAAAAAAAGTCACCCTTTAACAAACAGAAGATTAAGCTACATAGATTTAGCTCCTTCAGTCTATCACTATAGAATGGATTTTCCAATTCTTTTATCATTTATGCGACTCTTGTCTGAGCCCTCTCCAATTTAAAGTGAGAATGGAGGAGTGCAGAAAATGTAGGGCATTAACAGAATAAAGATACAGTGTGGCTTCTTAGTAGTTACTCCATGAGAATGAAGGTCAGCTTTCCTGAATTCAATTTCCAATTTTGCTGACTGATGTAGAGAAGATCGCTTAACTTCTCTGTGTCTTAGTTTCCCCATTTCTAAAACAGGAATGAATGGAAATTAATTAATTAATGTTTGAACCGTGATTTAACAGCTTCATTTGAGAGTCATTTAGGCTTTAACCCTGCAAGGGACTGATCAACCCCTTAAGGTTATGAGCACCATCAACTACCACTGGCTTCAGAAGCGTCTGAGCACCTTTCAAGGTCAAGCCCTTGAAGAACTATGGGTTAAAACCCTCTAGATGTGGGGGACCTTCTCTGCCACCTAAAATTGTTTGCAGAGAAAGTTGGGTGCAAAGTGACTATTCAACTTATTGAACATTACAGCATATTTCTTCAGCAACACTGGCTATTGCAAACACGTCATACCTGTCCTCTGCTATGGCTAAAGCTCTTGGATGAGGATCACGGTCAACAACACACTCTTCTGACACAACATTATTTTCTATAAGAAGGGAAAAAACTCATCTATGCAGGAAACAGAATTTTCTCGGGCACTGTCTGAGATTGTGGAATGAACTCTCACAGGAAGTCAAGGTCAAGCCCTTGAAGAACTATGGGTTAAAACCCTCTAGATGTGGGGGACCTTCTCTGCCACCTAAAATTGTTTGCAGAGAAAGTTGGGTGCAAAGTGACTATTCAACTTATTGAACATTACAGCATATTTCTTCAGCAACACTGGCTATTGCAAACACGTCATACCTGTCCTCTGCTATGGCTAAAGCTCTTGGATGAGGATCACGGTCAACAACACACTCTTCTGACACAACATTATTTTCTATAAGAAGGGAAAAAACTCATCTATGCAGGAAACAGAATTTTCTCGGGCACTGTCTGAGATTGCGGAATGAACTCTCACAGGAAGGACCATCAAAATCAAACAACCCATCTTACTAAAACAATACACTTCACACAGTTCTCCCCCGTAGGGAAGATGAAAGAACAAATCACATGTGACCGAAGGGAATCATGTCCCTTAATGCAGTAATGGAAGATGCCCAAACACTACTGTGATGTGCTCAATTTAAGAACCTATTGTGACAAAGCTCCTCTTCTGCTGTGGTGAGTTGTGCATTCAGGCAGATTGCTCTCCTCAAAGGCTCATGGCAGCCCTCAGTTTAGACACTTTCTCTAGGGTGTCAGCTTGTCGTTTGTTGAGCCACCCACCTCATTGGCCATCAAGGAGAAAAGAGAGGAGACCAAACTGCATAGTCACTGCATCCCCTCCAAATGATTCGGGGCAGAACAGACAGCTTTACCAAAATTAGTTCTTCTCCTATGCTGAATAGAGAGTGGGGAAGAAGACAAATCCAAGCCTGCCCTCTACTCCAGGTTCCAGGCCATGGACCCTCTGATGGCAGCTGCCTGCCTGTCTTCAATATCAGCTGTGTGACAGCTACAGTTCCCTGGGCCACTTCCCCATGGCCCTTCCCAGCACCTTTCTTACCACAGGCTCTTCTTCCTGGTACTTACTTGCACTTGCTCCTCCCAGACCTTCCACAGCGCCTTCTCTCCCCAGCTATTTGCATGCCATGAGCTTACAGAAGAAGAGTCCTTTTTAACTAGTTTCAATTGGTTCTTCATTGGCTCTAAGGGTACATCTACACAACAATGTTATTTTTGGAATAACGAATGTTAATCTGAAATAACAGTCCATGTCTACACTACAAGTGGTTATTTTCACATAATGTCAACATAATGGTGAACTGGAAGACTTCTTACTCTGGCTCCTGTAACCCTCATTTTACGAGGTGTAAGGGAAGTCAAAGGAAGAGTGCTCTTTCTCTGACTTCCTGCTGTGTAGACTGCGCCAAAAGCCGAAATAAGCTATTTCGATTTAAACTACGCAATTGATGTAGCTCAGGTTGCGTAGTGTAGACGCAATTGATGTAGCTCAGGTTGTGTAGCGTAGTTCAGCTTTAGCTCTGATGTGTAGACGTGCCCTAAGTGTCCTGATTAGCCTGCCTCACTGATGGGAAACCTCCTAATTGGCTCCAGATGTTTTAATTGAGCTAATTGCCTTGATTGATTCTGACAAGTTCCTGCTGGTTTTGGATTAGCCCCTGTTAGTTTGTCTTGGAACAGGGATCTTTTTAATCTAGGGCTTGTATACTTCCCTTCTACTGCTCTTATGTATGTTTCCGTTCCTTTATCTGTTCACGCATCAGAGTGGAGTTCCTCTGGGTGGTGCCCACGGGCTTCCCTGATGCTTTTGAGCAACAGTGGCCACTGTCTGAGGCTCTCTGCTTGGTGTCCCCTTCCAGTTCCCTTCTTTTGAACATCATGCCTGCTCCTGTTTTCTTTTTATTTGTCCCAAGTAATCAATTAGTTTCCTAGATTCAGTGGATCCTTCCTGTAGACTGGGGGAGGGTCCTTTAGCTCTGGGCCCATCCACTTCCTGGATTCCAACAGGGCCACTCTACTGTAGCCCTTTGACTTGACCCTGTCAGGAAGATTTAGACCAAACCACTACTTAACATGAATGATGATTTTCACCAATATATTCAAAATAAAACCCAAATCTAGCTCCTTGAATTCTTCCCTTTCTCCCTTGCATAATTAACCTATGACTGCCTTGACTAGGAGGGTCAATGACATATTAAAAAATAAATACAGTTACATGGTCATTACTCACTAGAACACAGAATTAAAGGTTTTCATTAGAAACAAACATTTTGGAGGTTAGATCCCAAAGTAATTTTACATACCCTTTTAAAATCAAAAAAGTTATTACAAGATATTTACTATATTTATTAACTTCTCTAATCTATTATAAGAGCTGAGAATATGTTTTTCTATTTGTAAAACAAATAATATGACTCCACAGCTAATTGAATTGTTAAAATGGAAGAAAATGTAATCACATCCACAAAAACTAAAATACTAGTAGGAATTGTTCAACAGGTTAGGCATGTCCAGGTGATTTAGTATCTAAAAAAATAAACCTGTGAAATAATGTGCTAGTTCAGGTCCTGATTCAGGAAAGCATCTTTACTGAGAACTGCACATTAAAGCATATGCTTAAGTCCCACCTGAAGTTAAATACGTGTTTAAGTTCTGTCTAACAGAGATGGATTTAAGAAAGTGCTGAATTGAGGCTGGTGAAAAGTGCTAGGCCGATAATCTTGTAGACTAACATGTTGTATTTACGCTTAGAATGTAGATTCTGACAACGACTGCTTCTCCTTGTCTTGCCAATGCACCTCAACCCTGAGGTGGATGGACAGCCTCCTTTGGTGAGAGGTGGCTATGTAGATGTGTTGTGGTAGACTGCAGATAGTTGTGTTGATGAGTTGTAGGTGGTGATGAGGTTTAATTATATTCTTGGCTGAGTCTATCAACAAAGATGCTAAATCTTCACCACCATGAATAAGGGTCACCAAATCCAGCCCATTCTGAGGTTCAGATGTTGCTACCCAGAATGACAGAAGCCTTTAACAGTTGTAAGTGGTTGTGTTCCTCAAAGCGATCAGTTGCCCAATCCTATTTGATAAAACATGCTAACCTCTGGATTACAACTCTCTTTCCCAGGGACATGATTAAACTCTAATGAAATCAGCCTTTAAACCACTAAATACATTTTTTTAAAAGCTGTAATCTTCTTAAAGACATTTTTCATCCCAATTAATGACTGCTAGATATAGCACTAGGAGTTTAATGAGTTTAATCAAAGAAACTTTTAGAAGGCTTCTTGAAGTCTATGCATACACAGGAGAATGTAACAGAGGAGCAGTGATGCATCTGAGCTTGACTCAACAGTTTAAATTTACTATATATTTTAGAGAGTTTGTCTGTTTGGTCAAGAACTCCTCCTAAATGGTAAGAACTAGGACCACCAAATTCAGCATACAGATTCTTCTTATCATAACTTAAAGCAAAGTAAGGGTTTGGTTGTGCCAGGAAAATGAGATGTGCCTGGATTGAGATTGCTTCTCAGAAAAACAAACAGAAATGAGACAGAGACACCAAAGCAGGTTCGGTCCTCAAAATTGACATAAACCTGCGAATGTTGAAAGAGACTGAACCAAGATGAGACAGAACCTGGAATAGGCTTGCTTCTCAATAAACCTTAGAAAAAAAGAGATAAAATGGAGAAATTTGGAGTAGTTCTCTGTTTTGGCATACTAAATCAATGCTTAAGATTAGAAAACTAGGAGAAAATGTTATTGAAAACGAGATTGATACAGTCCTTTTTTGTTAAAACATAGCAAAGGAGGGGAGTTTATAGGGATGAAGAAAAAGATACATTTGATGGAATTCCTGAATTACAGACCCGAGCAATACCGGGTAAATCTACAAATATAGTATATTTGGCACATTTATTTAAAATACTTTAATTATCTAAAAGGTGATTTGGATTACAATATGAATCACTTAGGATTTTGTAACGGTAGTGCTGAATTTCACAGCAAAAACAAAGGAAGAAAAGCAAATGATTTCAGTAAACCCATTGGGGAGCTATTTTTGCACAAACTTATCTAATACTCATTATCTGTATTGTGTTTTGATAACAAAGACACTTTTACAACTATCAAAATGTTGTGACATGTCAGAAGATTGCTAAACCTCCTAAAGGAGCACTAAAAATGTGTCTGGTTATACTGTGTAAACCAGGACTCACTTTATGATATTTTTACATTGCAGTGGAGGCTGGAGTATAATTAAAAAGTTATCTTTCATATGACAGAATGATAACCTAATTATATTCATATTTTAATGATTTGCCTGATTTTATTTTTAAAAGTTCCATCCTCCAGATGTGACATTTATATAATTCTGATGTTTTCAAATCTGTTACCTGTCCTATAAATTAGTCTCCTCTGGCATGAGGACAATTGATTTCAATTCAGAAACTGGATCCATAGCCAAAAGAGAAGTATTTAAAATACCTACTGAACTTGTTTATTTTTCTGTCATGTACTTTTCTATTTTGGTTATAAATTCTCTCATTCAGTTTTTAGTTTACAAGAGTGTGATTAGAATTAAATGAATTATTTGGTTAGGATTTTGAATGAAAAAAAAAAGAAAGGACCAGACCCACAGCTGGTGTAAACTTGTTTCAAGTCAATGGAGTTTTGCCAGTTTAGAATACCTGAGGATCTTGTCCAGAAAATTCAATGTTATAGTTATCCTATCAACTTTGTGCATAAATGTTTCTGTACGGATCATTATTTTTTTATGTCTTCAGGGCACAAAACTGTAAAGACTGAAACTCCCGAAGTCTGTGCACACTAATTGGGCCCTGCCTACATATGCATTTACTCACACAAATGTCAACTTTGTACATGCATTCGCAGGAACTGCACAAAAATCACTGTGCAAATTTTCATGTAAAATTGCACAAAGGCTACAAGATTCATCTTTATAAATCTCATGAGTAAATGCCAGTTGACTGACCATAACTTTGAATTTTGTACATTCAGAATCTGATCTGTAATCTACACAGCTAGTATATACAGGCAGTCCCCGAGTTACGCGGATCCGACTTATGTTACGAATGGGGCCGTCTCCCTGGTCTCCAGCAGACCAGGGAGAGGAAGCAAAGCAGCGGAGCACGCGGGCAGCGGACAGCCCAGCTGCCCCCCTGCCCTGGGCTTCCTGGAATCAGCCGCTGATCAGTTTCAGCAGCGGCTGAATCAGGACGCCTGGGGCAGAGCAGCTGGGGTGCTGCCGGGTTGGTCCAATAGCGCCACCGCTCCTCGGCGCTACTGGACCAACCCGGCAGCACCCCAGCTGCTCTGCCCCAGGCGTCCCCAAGTCAGCCGCTGCTGAAACTGATCAGCGGCTGATTCCAGGAAGCCCAGGGCAGGGGGGCAGCTGGGCTGTCCGCTGCCCGCGTGCTCCGCTGCTTTGCTTCCTCTCCCTGGTCTGCTGGAGACCAGGGAGACGGCCCCATTCGTAACTGCGGATCCGCCATAAGTCGGATCCGCGTAACTCGGGGACTGCCTGTATTTCAATTTGTGAGGCAATGAATTCTAATAGGTACTGCAGGGATCTGGGAGTCTTGGATTATATATTGGACTCTGCCACTAACTGTTTCATACATCAGAAGTCCTGCTTCTCTAAGGAGCAGGATTGCTTCTTCTTCAGCTTTTATGCAGTATGGTGAGCCATGTTACTAGGGCTAGAAAGAAGGGAATGAACAGAGGCAGGGAGCCACCACAAACAAATGATAGGAGAATTTTCTTATTAGTTGTGGTAACATGGTAATAAAATGACTTGTTTTCATTATTGAACAGCTGTGTATCATCTGAAAATTAACACCAGTTGAGCTTTAAAAACACAAGGTTCATGAAATGGTTAGGACTTACTGTTTTCGTCACCATAGTCTAAATGTTTAGAGACGCACATGAAGTGAACTTATTCAGAAATGATGTTTTAAGTTAAAATTGGCAATTTCCCTTAGCAGGATTTCTTGTTTTGCTGAAAGTGTTGCCATTTGTCATGAAGACAGCAGAGAAGTCTAAAATAAGACTATAAACTAGGGGGCCAGAAAGCTGCTTACATTTCAGCAAGGAGATGTGAACTGTTTCTTAAAACCTGTCAGGAACCAAGGCAGAATAAGGTGGGAAAGTTCGTAGACAGAAACTCTACAATGAAGTGTCAATGAGACAGACTAGCTTTTTGGACAATATTGCTTCCCTTATTCTAACAAAGTTCCTTGTTTAGTGTAAGAAGAAAGTGACTCTTTACCATTGTCACATGACACTCACTATATTGTTCTTTCAGCCAGGAGAACAAAGCAGATGCTTCTTTTTCTGTAGAAGTCTAATCTTCCAGGTGAAAGATAATCTCTGTTCTCTAATTTGTGAGGCCCAAAGCTTCCCTTAGATAATGCACATGCATAGCCCCTGAGCTGCAGGAGAGAATGTCCTAAATTCGTGTTCTTAGGATACTTGCTGCATAGGCTGGCATGGTGATGTTCTCTCTCTTCGGCCACACCTGCAGTTAGAAGTGTGATTCCCAGCTCAAGTAGACATGTTTGCACTTGCTCATCAAGCTAGTGTGCTAAAAATAGTAATGTAGCTGTGGTAGTCCAGGCAGTGGTGAATGACTGTGTGGGCTAGCCCATCCAGAGTACAAGCCCACCCAGATCCCGTAGTTACTCCTGGGCACCACAGAGCTACAATATTGTGTTCAGCACGCTAGTTTGGTGAGAGCTGCCACGAATGTTTGCTTGAGCTGGAAACACACTTTTAGCTTCAAGTGTAGATGTAGCCTTATCCTGTTCCCTTTTTTGAATTTTAAAATGTAAAGTCATTGCTGTAGGTGGCTAATGTAAATGGAGACACTGACAATTGCTTATTCTTAACAGTGAGTGGAACACAAGCAAGATTGCCTCCTGGATGGTTGAAAGCATTAAGTGAGCCGTGCTGCAGGAGCCATGTCGCTGCCATTCCGGAAGGAGTTAGAAAAATATAAGAATATCAATGAAGATGAAATTCTCAGCAAACTGTCAGAGGAAGAGCTGAAACAGTTGGAACATGTTCTTGATGATCTTGACCCTGAGGTAGGTAGAGGGACATGAACAGAACTGATGTTTCAAAAGAGGCTGATGATTATATTCCCAGTACATGACAGGCGATGTGTTCTAAAGGATAAGGCACCAAACAAGGAACTCTGAGACCTTGGATCTATTTCCTGCTCTGCCACTGATATAGGGCAAGTCAGTCTGACATAGGGCAAATTTTTGTGACAGACTTTCTCTTTTTAGACAGTAAATCCTTGAGGACAGAGATTCTGTTAATATATATTTATACCGTGCCTAGCCTAATGAGGCTTTTTTTGTTGGGGCTGGTAGGTTCCACTGTATCAAATCATCATCATCTGTTTGTGAAGATCCCATTCTTTTGAACTATTGAAATATATTGACTCTGTATTTTCAACATACATAGTTTTAAGTGAGGAAAATTTGCTTTGCCAAGACTTGACTGAGCCAAACTTTAATCATCTCCAGTCAACTATACATCCACCCTATCCTACATAAAGAAAACATGTTAGTGTTGCAGACTTGGAAATGGCATTCACAGTATGCTTAAAAACCTGTGCCCTGGCAAAAAAAAAGATTTACCTTTCACTTAAAAAAAGATGGGGTCAAAGTTACAGATATGTCTGTTGTTGGGAAGCTTGCACTATATTTCAAATTGACCTAGCAGTTTAAGTTTATAGCACTCCGTTTCTAGTTTTCACCAAAAGAAATACTTGTTCCAAGAGACTAAACGATACAACATAGAATGGAATGGAAATTGAAAGTACTTTCAAGGACATTATAATTATTCAAGGACATTCCATACTGCTAGCAAACCACCAGTCAACACAGCTTCCTGGCCAGTAGAAATTATTTTATTTCCTAAACTGGAGGGAAAATAACGATGAAAAAGAGGTTATTAATTTCCAGTTTCATAGCATTCTATCTGAAGATTAGAGATGTGTAATGAAGTGACCAAGTATATTTTCCAGAAAGTACTTTCTGTATACTCAATTTTAGACTTTTAGTCATCTATACTGGGATAAAAGGTAGGGAGGGAATGGAGAAACAGGAGTAGCAATAGAAAAGAACAGCAACAACAACAACAAAAAGAGGGGAGAATTGGAAAGAGAGTCACCAAGAAGAGAAGATAAAGAGAGGGAGGTTAACCTGTCCTATTTAATTTGACTGCCAGCTTGGTCCTTTAGTACTACTGTAAAAACACAGATAATAAGGGTAGGAGACACTCTTAGGGTATGTCTACACTACCCCCCTAATTCGAACTAGGGGGGGTAATGTAGTCATACGGAGTTGCAAATGAAGCCCGGGATTTGAATTTCCCGGGCTTCATTTGCATAAAGCCGGCCGGCGCCATTTTTAAATGCCGGCTAGGTCAGACCCCGTGCCGCGCGGCTACACGCGGCACGGACTAGCTAGTTCGGATTAGGCTTCCTATCCGAACTAGCTAGTCCGTGCCGCGTGTAGCCGCGCGGCACGGGGTCTGACCTAGCCGGCATTTAAAAATGGCGCCGGCCGGCTTTATGCAAATGAAGCCCGGGAAATTCAAATCCCGGGCTTCATTTGCAACTCCGTATGACTACATTACCCCCCCTAGTTCGAATTAGGGGGGTAGTGTAGACATACCCTAAGAGTACTTGAAAATGTCATTTTAATAGTCACAACTAGTCAATACACGGCTGCACATTATTTGCCCCTGAAGAATATTATGCTAATAAATATTAGCTCCACTTAAAAAAGAAAGTACCCTCTAGTGGAGATTAAATTTAGAACATTGTAGAGAGAATGATGACATGTTTGTATAATCAGTTTGTGAGCACTTACAAGATAATGGGGTGATGAGGAATATTCAGCATATATTTGCAAATCATGCCAAATCCAAACCAGCCTAATTTCCTTCTTTGACAGGATTACTAGCCTAATGGTCAGAGGGTAACAGTAGATGTGATAGATCTTGAGTTCAGTAAGGCCTTTGATGCAGTCCTCGCACATGACACTCTTATAGGCAAACAAGGGGAATGCAGTTTATATGAAATTACTACAAGGTGAGTGCACAAATGGTTGAAAGACTGCACTCAAGAAATACTTACCAGAGGTTCACTGTCAAACTGGGAGGACATATCTAGAGGAGTCCTTCAGTAGTCAGTGCTGGATCTGGATTTTCATTCATACTTGTATAATGGAGTGGAGAGAATGCATCTAAAAGAAATTTGCGGATGATGCCCATCTGAGAGGAATTGCACACACATTGGGGTACAGGAAAAGAATTCAGAACAACTCTGACAAATTAAGATTTGCAGCAGCACTTTAATGCAGCACTAGCACTGGGAGATAGCTCTTCCAGAATTCCAGGTAAACCCCCTCCATGAGGTGCATAGCTCCCAGCACTGGGAGCCTATTTACACTGGTGCTTTATAGTGCTTTAACTTGCTTTGCTTAGGGGGTGTTTGCTTAGGGGGAAAGTTACAGCACAATGTAGTGGCAGTGCAGACAAGCCCTTCAAGAACTGATCTGAAATCAACAAGATGAAATTCGATAAATACAATTAGGAGGGGAAGAAATCAAAGACACAACTAGACTGGACTGATAAAAAGTGTCCAGGGGTTATAGTGGATCACGAATTGAATATGAGTCAACAGCGTGATGCAATTTTGAAAAAGGCTAATGTTTTAAGTTGTATTAAGAAGTGTGTTGGGTGTAGGACATGGGAGGTAACTGTCCGGCTGTACTTGGCACTGAGGAGGCCTCAACTGGAATAATGTGTCCAGTTCTGGGTACCACGCTTCAGAAAAGATATGGATAGGTTGGTGAAACAAACTTGACCTATGAGGAAAGGGTAAGAAATTGAGGCATGTTTAGGAGAAAAGGAGACAGAGAGGCTATGTCTATACAGCAAGGTTCTTGTGCAAAAACTGGTGGAGCATTCACACCTCAAGCACATTTTTGCGCAAAAAACAACAGTAAATTCACAGGACAGAGGGCTTTTGCCAGTAGAGTTATTCCTTTCCCCATGAGGAATAACTCCGTTTTGTGCTACAGCTCTTGAACAAAAAGGCAAGTGTGGACACTCCACAGGGGTTTAATGCGCAAAAAGAGCCTATCAGAAAAAGAACAGGTGCTCTGATGGCCATTCTGTGAATGGCCATCAGAACTTTCTTGTGCAAGAGCATCCATGCAGTGTGAACGTTCTCTTGTGCAATGTGCTTTTGAAGTGTGGACACGCTTTTGCACAAGAAGTTTTTGCAGAAGATCTCTTCTGCAAAAAAAGCTTTTTGTGCAAAAACCCTGAAGTGTAGACAAAGCCAGAGGGTCTTGATAAATATGTAAAGGGTTGTTATAGGAGGATAGTGATCAATTGTTCTTGATGTCCACTGAAGGTAGGACAAGTAGTAATACGTTTGATCTGCAGCAAAGGAGATTTAAGTAAGAAATTAGGAAAAGCTTTCTAACTATAAGGATAGTTCAGCTCTAGAGTAGGCATCCAAGAGTAATTATGGAATCCCAGAAATTAGTGGTTTTTAAGAGCTGGTTGGATTGTCAGGGATGGTTTAGGGTTAACAGACCCAGCTTGAGTGCAGTGGTCTGAATTTGATCAATTCTCAAGAAGCACTTCAGGCCCTACATTTCTGTGATTCCCTGATTCTACAAAATGCCATGTACCCAAAGCTTCTTCATCAGAGGCCAGATTCTCTAGTTAGTGTAAATCAGCATATCTCAAATTATGTCAGTGGAGCTATGCCAAAACCTGCCCCCAGATTTCTATGTTTTAATAGTAACATGCTGTCGTGATACTTAATGACTTCTGGAGGTCACTCCCAGACCAACATTTTTATGATTCTGTATTTGCATCTCATTTTGGTAGAATTCACTTTTGCCAGCGGGCTTCCGACAAAAAGACCAGACCAGTAAAGCTGCCACGGGCCCTTTTGACAGAGATCGACTCCTTTCGTACTTGGAGAAACAAGCACTGGAACACAAAGACAGGGAAGACTTTGTGCCCTTTACAGGGGAGAAGAAAGGTAATGGTTCACCCTTGCGTATGCCTGCAATAATGCACTAGTTTTATCTGTGGTCTACTATCTTGCCATCAGACCAGGAGCCAACAACTCTGGAGTTCTATTTCCAGCTCCCTTTGTGGGCTTAGGGAAGATACTGGTGCCACTCCAGCCAGGTGCCAGGCACTATGCCCCTAATTCAGCAAAGCACTTAAGCACAGGAACACTCACATTGACTTCATTGGGATGAGTCATGTGTTCACAATTAGGCATGTGCATTCTGGATCAGACTCTTATATAGACACATCAACTCAAGTATCACACTCCTTCTGAACAATTGTTACCTGCTATTGCTATAAGTAACACTTAAAATCACTGTAAAGGAAAGAGATAAGAGCAGTGATGGGCAACCTAGGCTAGTGAATGGGCTGCATGAGTGGCCCTCCTTCATCTCAGGGGGCCGCAAAAGTTTTGTAACCAAGATGGTCTCCCAGGACAGGGTAGTTTTGCTAAATGTCCTTGTGTACCTAAAATTTGCAGGCTGTGCCATCTGAACCATAGCAGTGCTTTGATTTAAAGCAAAGGGAGCGTACAGCTCTCGCAGTCTATACTGTGTGCAATCAGCATGCACCTCCCTTCACAAGCCCTCGCTTTACGTGCATGTCACTTTAGTAATACCGGAAGGGAGGAAAAAAACATCTATGGACGGAAACCAGCAGAAGCTGGCAACCCTGCGTGTGGGTAACAGAAAACAAAATGTCTCATGGACCACATATAGAACCCCAATGGGCCACATGTGGTCCCTGGGCTTCAGGCTGCTTACAACTGAATTAGAGCAAAGATTTATTTTTCCCACTTGCTTTTTTTGTACATTTGACAGCACTCTTCACATACTCAGTTTCACCATTCCTATTTGTAGAGAGGTTTGTCATACAGCCACAGAGGAGAGAAGAACATTTTAAAAAACAGGAAAGCGTGATTACAAAAAACCCCCACACTGGCAGGATGATTTAGGCAGGAATGGCATTTTGAACTACTTTTAATTCAAACCTTAAGCGACTGATTACATTTGAAGTATACCGTGTCCCTTTAACAACACTGTCTCAATTACCTTATTTGTAAACTGAAAATATTAACATTTTCCTAAGGCTTTCTATCAGCTATCTACTTAAGCATATGCCTAACTCTGATCATGTAAGTAATTCCATTTATTTCAAAGGGGCATGTTTAAAGTTAAGCATATACTTAAATTCCTGGACAACTCCAAGACAGAATGATTAACAATCTAATCTGACCCACAGGGAAGTAAATGGCAAAATTATTGAACTTATAATGGAAATAAGATTGGGGCCCTAATTACTATTTACAAATGTGCTTGGAAGATATTAAGTGCTATTTATATGCTAAGTGTTATTATTACATTTCATTTTCATCCTTTTAAAAAAAAACACGGTATATTAAATAATCTTTTCAAGGAGCGATAGCAGCTAGATCTCTCATTAAAAAAACAGAAGCATTAGTTTCGATCATTGCACATTGTCTTTATTTTCTCCCCCAGCACTTTATCCATTTTTTTATTTTAGTGACTTAAGGCTTGATCCTAAGTCAATGGTAAGAGTCACATTGACTTCAATGGATCAGAACTGGGTACGTACTGTTTAGAAGGGAAAACCCAGCCTATGTGAGAAGTGATTTATTACCAACCCCTCCTCTTGTCTGTCCTCTTATGCAGAAACTGTTAATATGATGTTAAACTGTTACAGATTTCCTTTCTGCTATTGAATAATGATTCTTCTTATCAGAACAATGCATGGATTTAAAAAGAAAACACAACACAATACAAAAATGTGATGATTGTATAGTTGTTTAAAAAAATCAGATGTTTTTAATTTAAATATATTTCTTTTTAAAAATAACCCCATTTAAAATTTATTTTGAAATTATGGTAACTTATGGTAAGACATAAATTTCCCATAACATATTAACATTATTTAAATCAAATAAAAATATTAAGCAGTAAATGCTAGCTGCTAAAGTTTTAAATCAGGTCAAAGAATTGAACTGGAGAAAGCAACTGTCTAAGCACTTGGAACCAGATTTTGCTGACATGCTAAAACCAGAGCTTTTGATACCCAGTAATCTCTCCTGTAAAGATGCAAAGAGAATATTTACTTCATTCCATGTTATTCAGCAAATTCAGTGCAATAACTACTTCAAAGTTAAGAAACAGATTGGGAGCTGAAAAAACAGGAAAGCTAATTTCCTCATCCAATCTATAAATAAAAATTAGGTGTGAAAAGATAAGATCTACTAGTTCTAAAATCTTGAAGGATATGGTGACTAGAAACAATCAGTTTGACTCACTAACTACAGATGATATTTCCCTTGTTTAATAAATCAGTTTTAAATACAAAATGTATTTTGATAAACTTTTTCTTTATGTATCCAACACATTTAAGGTACTATTATTAACTAATAAAAACAATTTTAAATGTGGTTTAAGTTTTTTTTTTAAATCTGAATTCTAATTTCCATCCATCCAAAATTTGATATAAATCACAGGTAAAAATAATTAAACAAGAAATGCATCACACAACATTTTCTAACATAAAAAGTATAAAAAATTAAGAATCTGAATAAATGTGCTAAGCTCTATAATTGCTTAAATAAATGTATGTTGATATTTATCATTCTGTTAGCAAAAAGAAGTACTAAATTCAGTGTAAAAGCCATACTTAGTTATATGTTATAATCAGTGAAAACCAACCTGTCTTTAGGAAAATAACTAAAAAGTACAAATACAAAATGAAATTCAAATCGATACTTTACATCAAGGTTTCCTGCTTGATGACTTAAATCTGTTCAAGTGGCTGATTTAAATCTATCTACCCTGGGCAGGTGCATAGTCACACAGGCGCTATCATTGTCTTATCTGAGTTCATGTAGATTTAGAAAAGTGAGACATTTTTTGTTTCCACTAGAGAATTTGAGCAACCACTGCGCGGCGCCCCGAGCAGAGCTGACTCGGGATGCACATAAAATTGCTACCCACGATCAGGCCGGCCTACAGGGGAGAAAGCACCAAAGAGAGTAGTTGCACAGGAACCTGGCAATTCAAAAGGGACCAGAGTTTTCAGCTGCTGCAGCCATTGCCACAGGAATGGCAGCAGCTGGAGCCCCGGGCCCATCAAATTACTGCCGGAGTGGCACACGGTGCACTCTGGGTATCTCTGAGGGTTGGGGGAGGGAGAAACAGCATGGCATGCTTGCTGCGATACTCAGAGCTGGCTGATCTCAGCCCCACCCATCCCTATTGGCAGTGCAAAGCAGGGCCCTCTCTCACCTTACCCAGGGCCTGGCAAGTCTGTTGGCCCCCAACCCCTGCCCATGATGTGCAAGGTTTCAGTGCCACCCTGGGGATTGCACTTGCTCTGTGTAAGGCTAACCATTGTATTGTCCACCACTCTATCACTCTACCCTGTGATGGGGGTAGTTTTCCATCCTGAGATTTTCTTTTGATACTTTTAAAAATACATGATTCTTTAACTTGTCCACTATAGTCCTGGCTGTATTAACCCAGATTTCTGTGATTTAGGAACATCACTGTTCCACAAAACACGAATAACTAAACTTTTCACCTATCCCTCCACATTGAACTGGCTTTGCTCAGCCTCCCTTGCACACAGATCTGCTCTTATTAGTGTAAACTAAGTAAATCACAAATGGTGATTCAGGGGGTTATTGGAATTGTGAAGTTATTGCCAGTGTATTTGTGCTACGGAACTTATTCTCTTGATTTCTCTTGTGTCCTTCATTTGGACTCTGTCCCAGATTGAGTCCTAAATGTGAATTTTAGCAGATTGAAACATGGGGGGGAAAAGAAAAAAAAAACAACCCTCACGACTACTGCTTAACGTAACTGGCAATTATTTAAATAGTGAACTCTGCTCTACTCTTATTGAAGTTGGTGGCCAAATCCCCTGAAAATATCTGATCTGTATTAAGATTTATCTGTCAAACTAGATCAACATAGACAATTATGTGCAATTCAGCATCATAGTGTCCGAAAACTTTGTGATGTATCTACCAATTTGTGTGCTGGTTTAAGGGTGCATGACTTCAGTAGGAAAGAATCTGCCTACCTTAAGCCTGGCATCCCCCCCATGCTGGGACTGCTGGAGATGACATGACCCCCGAATGAGTAGCAGAAAGACACTCCTCACATCCCCCTATCACATCAGAGTCGAGAGGGTCCCAGGCTAGTAGATTTTGGTGCTCCAGACTCATGGTGGGGTGGCAGGGGAACTGAAGTGTCAGTGCTGGTTCCCCAATGCTGGGGGAGGGAAAGCCCTGAGCCTTGGGGCTGTATCCAGGCAAGCTAGGGGTCACAGCCGGCCCCTGGGCCTCAGGTTCCCCACCCCTGCAGCTGAGTCTTTCTAATGCTGATCAAATTAGATGAATCTTGATTAAGGGCCAGGAGCAAGTAGGCCTGGTTGCAGATCCTGTCTACTCAATATGTGGGCCGCATGCGGATCACAGCCTGTTTGTTTGCAGTCTGCGGTGCAGTGTGAGTTTACACAGGGCTCAACATCTGGCCCGTGGGTGGAAGCCAAAACAAAAATGTAGTCAATATAATGGTCTCCTGTTGATATGCGTTGTAGTAGTTAAATTCCTGGACTGTCATTGATTATTAAAAGTGCTCTCTTATGGGTGAAAATCGGGTAAATATTGCATCTTATTAATATCAGCAGAACAGACTTAAATGGGGCCTGTGTGTTGTGTAATCTTGCCTTAATCATTGTATTCTTGGCCGTCGGTATGAAAGAAGCTATTTGCATATATATTTGCACATATGTGCAACCACACTTAAGTTGCAGTTGGTATATGCCATGAGTATCATTGTGGCCCCTGGGGCTTCCATAGTTGAGTAGCTCTGTTTTAGATCTTAACACCAGCATTCCTAATCTCCGACTGGTTTAGCTCCACAAAACTCATGGACTGAGTAACTATGGCATGACTGTTTT